CAAGAGAAGAAGGAACATTCTTCCAGCACAACAGAATTGCTGTCACTTTCCAATGTGACAAGCCAGAGGTGGTCCCTCAGAAAACATCAGCAGAAGCTGGCTCCAAAAAGGAGGTTATCACTATAAATTTGCTTTTCAAACATGTATTGAATCCCCTAGGAGGAATACAGCTACTTGTGAATGGTGATGTAATGCTTTTTTTGTTTGGTTTGGGGTTTTTTTGTTTGCTTTTTCAAAAAAAACAAACAACCTACTGTTGCCGGTAGGTTGCATATTTTCATTATCTGATGTACTGCTGACTTTCAAACTTGGATGTATAAAATGAGGTAAAACCAGATGTGCGGCAGCATAGGATTAAAACACTAAAAGGAAGATAACAGAATGGAGTAGAAAGAGAACATAATATGGGGAAAGATGGAAATAAAAAGAAAAAAATTGAAGTAGCACAGAAGATTTATATTACAAAAAAAAGTAGAGTGGAACAGGAACCAAATAGCTAGAAAATTGTTGCGATGAACTCCTAACTAGGAAGAAAAAATCAAGTAATAACAGTTATTAATCACTGCAGTGAAGAAAATTAATGCAAGGTTTAATGACTGCTGAGCAAATATTTTGACACCTAGCCTAATTTCATTAATATGACATAGACTGAATGTCGCTTTTCCAGTCTAGGGAATGGCAGCACTTTTTAAATTACCCTCAAATATATTTTTGAAGTGGACCATCTGTGGCGTCCTTCCTTAATATTCAGTGTTTCTGATCTTCATATGTAAGAATAAATATAAAATTACCTCTTTGAGTTATTAAATACAATTCCATAGTTTAAGGACATTGCATTCAGTCTCCTTCAGTCAATCTGTTACATTCAGCATCTTTTGGTCTATGAACTCTGTGGTCCCCTTCCCTCACATGACAATGCCAAAGCAGCACTCTGTTGTGCTGCAGCAGTCCCAACGCTGTTCAGATAGTTTAAGAGTACTCTTGCAGCTCTGAAGGAATGGTGATCAAGCCAATTTAAATTGCAGTTTGGACAAAAAGTTCAGTATGGTTGAGGGGGCCTGACTGAAAGCTAAAGGGACTGACAGTCTGCTCCACTGAGCTGTAACTCAAGACATTTAGCTGCCATGTTCTCTGTTAATGAAAAGAACCCAAAGAGCTGTATGTAGGAAGACAAAAATTGTTTATTCTCCAGCAAACGATGCAATCCAGTACGTCAAACAAAACCAAAATATCCAAGCCTGGTATCTGCCTGCACACCAGCACAACTTGCAATCTGGACACAGAGTGGATTAGATGCAAGTGCAAAGATGTACCAAGTACAATCAAATGCAAAAATCAAGCTCTAATGACTAGACTTTGCTGATAGCTGGCATTTTCTTCTACCACTCCATACCCCAGGATACTTTTGGCTAAAATTCTGAAGGTGTTTTAAGCTAGAGCTGGCTTATAGTATTGGGAAACTTCTCTGAGATGGGTAGGATGGGACTGGAAGGAGAGAGGAGAGAGGGAAGAAGAGAGAGATGAGAAGAGAGCCCAGTTCTGTGTAATCAGGAAGCTAAGAGAACATGGGTCATCCAGATGTCTACAGTCCTTTCCTGTAGTTCTCCCCTCTCACAAATTCCATATTCATTTTCCTGAAATCAATAACATTTCCTAGGAAAAGCCTTAGAGCGAAGGAAGTTGATGTTCCCAAAATATTTAAAAACAGATTGCAAAATATTAGTTTGAAATCCAGAGATATTTAAAACCTGTCCTCTTTACAGAGGACGAGGAGATTCAGGAACTGCTGAGATCAGAGTGCTTCGCTACTTCAGGAATAAAAAATACACCAGGAAGCAAGAGCGGCTGTTTACATGTCCAGAAGATGGAAGCCAGCCCGTTCCAAGTAACTACCTCTGCCCCATCCCAACTTCACAATTCCACCAGAAGTTAAATATTTCACTTATTCAGCTTAAAAAAACCCTAAACAACAAAACAGCCGAAAGAACAAGAAACGACATCCCAAGCCCGCCTACTCTAACACTTCTCCTTGGGTGAGCTACAACAAATACCCTCAGCAGATTCCGAGGTGTCCCTACTTTTAGCAAGCCCGTCCTAACTTTCCTTTGGGAAATCGCCGCTTTGGCGTAAGAGGGCAACACTGACCTTACAGACGCACATGAAACCGAGTGCAGGAGCGAGCAAGGACTTGTACAACACAGCCGTGACACAGCCCGTCCCGGCCGCGCCACAGGAGCCATTTGGAAGCCGCCGAGCCCGTGGGGCAGCGGGACACCCCGCACATCCACACGCGCGGGTTTGAGGACTCGCTCGGCCTCCGGCGTGGGGAAGAGCGGCCGTATCCCCCCCGCCATCCCCCGCAGAGGGCTGGGGGCGATCCCACCCACCGCGCCGTCCCGGCTCCCCTCCTGCCCCACGCTCACCGGGTCCGGCGCCCAGGAGAGCTGCGCCAGGACGAGCGGCGCGGCGAGCACCAGCAGCGCCCGACCCCAGCTCGCCATCCTCCTTCCTTCCTTCCCGGCCCCGCTCCCTCGGCGCTTCCCGGAGCCGCGGCCACATGACACCGCCCCGCCCGGCAGGGGCAGAACCCTCCCACCGCCCACACGGCCCGCCTCTCCATTTATAATACAGTAGCGGAGCCCATTTTCAGCCGCACTTCCACGAGAGGGAAGCGCCGTACAGGGAAATCCGAAATAAAATCGCGTCTCTTTGGAAACACTGAGAGCAAACCTGTGGCACCAGTTTTCACTTCGTAAATGCTGGGATTTTTAATTACTCTGTGTCCTTGGGAAGATTTTAGGCAGGCTTCGTGCTAAGGAGATGCCAGGCAGGCACCTTCTTTAGGAAGACTTCTCTCTATCTTGCCTGCTTAGGAGTGCAGGAGACAGGCAACGGGGCAGACTAATGAGAAATACAGGACATGAGATGTATCCAGCCATAAGCATCTTGCGTGCTATTTGTTCATTACTATACATAAATGGTACCTATTTCATAGAATCGTAGAATGGTTTGGTTGGAAGGGACCTTAAAGATCATCTAGTTACAACTTCCCTGCCCTGGGCAAGGATACCACCCATTAGATCAGGTTATTGTAATATTTGTTGTAATATCAAGTACAAGTCAGCAGCCAAATAAAGTGCATACTCCAAATAACTTACAATAAAAGGGATCATTTTAGTGTGAGCAAATAAACATTTAATGATCATATATGTTAGCAACAGTTGTGGGAAGCACTATGACAAAATACTCAAAACCTTCTGGGATGCCTTGTGTTTTAGCTTGTGTCATGTACTTTATGTAGTGACCAAGATGTGTCATGTGTTCCTAGGCACACAGAAGAAAAGTGATACAGTCTTTAATATCATGACTTAATTGCCTGTGCAATTAACTGTCTTACAAAATAAACTGGAGGTGTCAAGAAAAAGAAGGGAAGTCCTTGGCAGAAGGTTGATTGGAAAGCTGCAAGGAACTGCAGAAATTAAGAAACAGGAAGGATAAAAGAAATGTAATGTGGGAAAGGCTTGGGTGAAGGGAGGGAATGCAAGTGTGTAGGAAGGAGCCAGCTCAGAGCATAAGCTGGGAAATTGCACAGAGCTTTAAAGACCAAAGCAGAAAAGCATTAAGCACTGGTGAAAGAAGATAGAGAACCAATCTGTGGATTTAGAAAACAAGGAAAATTACAGCATAACAGGATAAACTTTGAGATTTTCACAGGAGTGCTCTTTCAAAAATAGGAAATCAGGCAGTTTCTATAGGATCTGGAAAATATTTTCAGTTGAAAACAAGTACATATAAGACAAAAATCCTGTATTTACTTTATGGACTATGGTAGAAAGAGTGTGATTAAGTTGGTCCTGATTTTTTCCAAACATCTGCAGCCCCTTTTGCTCATCTTTTATTTCTGGAGTAGACAGCTTTTAGGGATTTTACTATCTTTGTCTAGATGCTTTATCATCTTTAGTACATTTTGAAGCCTCTCTGTGCTTCTGGTTTAGTTCTTCCACTGCTAAAGAAACTCTCAGTTTAAGAAATTGTTAGCATCTTCCAGTAGCCATGTTTCTCTGACTATGGATATTTTGCTGTATTCCTATCAGAATGTCTTGTCTCCAGGGTCCACTCCAATACTTTAGGCCCTCGATTTTGTTGCCTAGGTTTCTTCTGGCTGTTTTCAAAAGTCTAAGTCAGAAGAAAAAAGCTTCTTAAGATATGCAGTTAACTTGCTAACTGTACTAAGACACCTGGTGTCACTCATACCTAGAACTTATGTCCACCTTCTGCTTTCTCATACTCACCTATCCAGTACTGTATTACCACTCTCGAGATCTCTTCCTTCCTCCAGAAGCAGAGGCTGCACAAATTACTTCCCCTTTTCTGTTTTAGTTAAATTAAAGCTCCTTGTGCTAACAGTACTGCCAGGACACATCTCCAAGATGACTCCATGAATATCTCCAATGGGAAAATATCCAAATGGGATATAGTATCAGTTAAATATACGGATCTTCACTGTTGTGTCATACCTTTGATTTCATTTTCCTGGGATCAGATTTCCAGTGAATTTCCCAGATCACTGTTTCTGTGTATCTCAGAACATGTTTTAGCTAGAATCTAGTATATCATTAGTCCCAACACAGAAGGCAACCCTATTGCTACTGTAATATCCTTATTCCCTGCAAGGCTGCCAGTCCCTCGCCAATTCTAGTACTTCCTCCTCTACTTGAGGCAGTCTCATTTCATTTGCTCTGCCATTTCTTTTTGCTTCACTTATTCCTAGCCCTATAACAAAGATGCCTCTCAGTTCTGTTTCTTCTTTACTAGCACTTAGAGCACCTGCACCTCGCATCTCCTATTTGCACTAAAATGAAGGGAACTTTCCATTTACAGGGGTAATTCTCAGGCTCTTATTCAGCTGCTGAGTACTCCTTTCAGCACTCTTCTCACCAGCATAGATTTCTGCTTCCAGATGCATCCACATTTGAAGTAATCATCTTTCTGAGTTCTATCAGACAAGTTTTTATTCAAACAGTAGATTCTTGAAAGAAAAACAGATGCTGTAATATCAATCTACTTCAACCATCAACATTCACTTCAGATGTATTTAAGATTCACAGTGACTGTGGATCAATGACACCTGCAATGAACTGTCCAATAAGGTCATTCTGGCCTGCAGCCTGCTCCTTGCAGTGCTGCCTCTTGCTCAGTGTTTCTGGGAGTAGTTTTGGCACTAGGCCACTTCCAGGTCCATGATGTTGTAATGGTTGTACATCAGGTTACTTACATTTCTGGGGAGGGACATGTAGTGTGGTACCTACAACAAGAACTAGTTAATGAGCCCTAATCGCCAGTCCTAAGCCAAACTAAGGAGCTCTGGAGAAAAATTAATTATGTTTGTTTTTTTTTTTTTTCTCTGATAGAACATCTCACAGCTATGCTGCATTTTCATCCAAGAATTCCTCAGACTGGCCAGGAACATTTGCCAACAATCATCTATTTATTTCTAGCTCTTAGAAATAAATTCATAAATTCCCCATAAATTCAGCACTCACACCTCTGTCAGACCTGAGCATGTGCAGTGTATCTTTACCAACAGTACAGGAACTCAAAATATGGCCTTTACACAGTGTGGAAAAGACAACATAGCCCTCTTCTTTACATTAAGTCACAGAGTATATGGACACCCACAGCAACTGAAAAGCCCCTAAGCTACATATACAATCAGTTCATGTACTTGACCCTTTCTGCTATTGGTAAAAAGCTATGCCTACATGGCTCACCCATTAATGAGGTGTTGATTTTTATTTGAGGGCAAGATCACTAAAAGCCAGGGAACTTTCTCTCTGGACTAAATCAGTGTACAGTCTGTCTCCCAGGGCTTAAGGTATATGGCAAACAGTTTGCCATTGGTAATTGATATACCTTTAATTTTTCTTGAAGTCATTCCCTTAATACAAGTCAAATATGCACAAGTGATACAGTTAATAAGATTTTATAACTGGGTTATCAATATGTGAGAAAATTTTAATAAAATTCTGAAGATACTTAACAATTACTTAAATAAAAAAATTATAAAATATTTTACTCTTGTTTTCAACTTGACCCTGTCAAAGATGAAGAAGAAAATGGACCAGCTGGATGTCACTTGCAGTATCTATCTGCTTTCACTTTTGCTCTCCTATATGAAAAGAGTGAATGAAAGAAGATTTAGATTAAGACCAAATACAATTACACCTGAGTGTTTTAGCTGTCTCAAAACATTAATAATAGCCCAGGAGTGTTCTCACATCACCTGCAATTATCAGAAATAGTTTTCTGCATTCCGCCCACTGAATTAATGCAAATATTTATACCATACACTGGTACAAAAGGCTTTAAAAATTCAAGACAGTTTCTAAAGCCTCAGCTCAGGGAGAAAAAAAAATATTCCCACTAGATAACACAAAGATAGTCCTAATAAATGCTATTTCTCTTTAAAATGCAACTTCTGTCTCTCCAAAATGTTCTGGGGTATTGAAAAATGTTAAAAATTAGCTTAATTTTTAGGATTAAAAAGATTAATCCCTCAATAACTCTGCAGTAAACACACTGAACAACCTGAATTAATTTACAGTCCAAACCTGCTAACTTCAGCTAAAGAAGTGAAAATTCAGATTAAAAAAAAAAAAAATAAAAAAAAGGCAACCCCATAACTCAGGCACAACACTCACCACAGAAGAAACGCTCAACAACCCGCCTGGAATCTAGCCCTCTTTTGTACCCCAAGTTTACTGTAATTCCATCTCCCAGTAGTTTTTTTAATCAGTACAATATTTCTTGTATTTTGAAGTACCTGTCAAGCAGCATTTCATGAAAAGTGCCTTCTTTCCTGGCTTTTCTAAGAGCTTTTGTATCTTCTTTGCTTATTTTAAGTTTTTTGTCTTGAAAACTTTGGAATTTCTTTCTGTAAGGGGGAGAAAAAAAAAGTCTTTAAAATTTTGTGTTTCAATAAAACAACAGTGATAAGAGTCTTAGTTTCTATTATGCAGCAGACAACTGGCCTAATAAACTCAGCAAACCATCTCAGTACTACCGTTGCACTAAGGCTCCTGTAGGTGAAAACTATTCAGGTTTTATTTTTTGTTTTGGCAGTCTAAATAGGAACGAGCCCCTATGTGGTCAGGAATTCTAAAGAGCCCCTTCTTCAACTACTAGCATAAGAAATCAGGGAACAAAAGTGTATTGGATGCAGGTCGCAAGGTGCTGACAGTGGGGGAGCTGCAGGGAGTTTTCTCTGTGAGAAAAGGCCAGGAGCTGCCCTGTGCTGTACAGAGCTGGCTCTACAACACACCCACTACAGGACACAGCCAAGTCCCATCAGCAAAGCTGGTGGCGCCTCTATGAAAATGTATTTAAGAAAGGGCAAAATGCCACACAGGCAGAGGAGGACAGAAAAAACCCCCAAAAGTGCAAAATGGCAGCGTGAACATCAAGGACAGAGAAAAAGAGGGAGGAGATGCTTCAGGCACTGGAGCAGATATTACCTTTCAACTCATGGATAAGACCATGACAGAACAGGGGAAAAGTGGGAGAGGAAAGGAGTGGCTGAAAGAAACCACTGTGTATTGACTCATACCCCATCCTGCTTCGGGGAGCAGGTATAGGAATCTGGAGTGAGGGTAAGCTTGGGAGATGGGGAAGAAAAGGTGGTATTTTTAAATTTTGTCTTTCTTAGTACCAAAATCCATTTAGCAGGCAACAAATTTAAGTAATTTTTCACTGTTGAGTCTGTTGCCTGTGACAGCATCTGCTACATGATCTCCCTGTCTTTATCTCAACCCATGAGCTTTCTCCTCCTATTTTCTTCCCTTGTCCTGCTGAGGGAAGAGCAAGTGAAAGGCTGGGTGGGAGTTTGGCCCTTTCACCAAAGATAGCCCCAAGGAGAAGTGAAAAAAGGTACTTGAGCCTGTTACCAGCTCTAAAGTACGTACACATAATTGATTTCACACTGTTTAACGTTTCCTTTGTCTTCTTGTGGAACTTCATCTTTCTTCTTAGCTTCTCTTTCAGCACAAGTACGAATCTAGTAATTGAGAAAAAAAAACAAAACAACCAAAACAAAAAACACCTATATTATAAAATTGTAAGCTACAGGTTAAAGATGACAACATATCCTTCATGACAGAATGAGCCACAGTGACTTTTCAAGTTCACAGCTTTCTAACTGGTTAACTAGAGACTACTGCAATCAAAGCAAGAGCTGCCTGAAATATGGGGAATATTAAGTGTAATCCTTAATACTACTGTGAGACATAATTGCCTTCATCTCAAAGGAGCACCATTACAGTTCTTAGTTTTGGCAGAGACAATTAATAGATTGATCTAAAAATATTATTGCTCTGACTAGTAGACACCTACCTCTGTGTGGAGAGACACATATATTTTCCATGTTCAGATAAAGTCAAGATAGTCTTTTTAGATTTTCCTAAAAGATCTCCCCTTCTGCATCGCTCTGATAAACCCTTCTCTGTCCCTGATTCAGTCATAATTCATCTCTTCCATACCAAGTTAATTAGAACTACATGGAATATCACATAGACTGTCTTGCCCTTTAACATCTTGCCCTTCTGGAGTGGTAAAATATCTTCCTATCTCTACTGGAAGTACTGAGAATTTATGCAGCCTTGGTGCTCATTTACCTTTCTTGTGGCCAAATCACTCGACAGCTTACAGAAAGCAATTATAACTGTATTAACAGTAAACTGTGGCACAGAGACACCGGCTTGTTTGAATATCCCTCCCAATCCTGTATTAATTGTAGAAGTTAGTGATTACCTTTATCATTTCTTCTTCCCCTGCAGTTTTGCTTTTGGCTTCTATATCTCCCTCTTCATTACATCTAATAAAACGGCTATTTGCTGCTAATAATGCCATTTTCTTCTGCAGAAATAACATCCCACATTGTTAGAATAATAAGATTGTATATAATCCTTGATTCATAACATTTATCCTCTACAATACATCAAAAATCTCTGTAAATGTGTTTTATTCTTTTATGTATGGATACTTCAGTAGCTAGCCAGCAGACTTGCTGGCTCCTCCATTCTTAAGATGCTTATAGCTGGCAAAAAGCAGTAACTTGAAATATTTTAAGAACTTCCCATTATAGCAAATGCACTGCAGTTGGGAAAACATAATATTAAAAGTTACAATATGAAAGAGACTGCCAAACGGTTTTACTTCACAGACAAAAAATATCAGCATAGATTAACTCAAAATACATTCAAACACTGGGAATGTCAAAGGAACTTTTCCAAATAGCTTACATCTTGGAAGACAGGTTCCCATTGCTCTCTTGATCCTATTGCATCGGAACGTCCAACAACGAGTCCATCTGAATTTATACCAAGATATTTGCCATAACCAGATTTCAGAGCAATCCTCAAAAAGAAAGCGCAGGAAAAAAATACAGAATGTTTTTAATTTATGCAATTCCCAACATCCAAGTTACCACAAACACATTTATTATTAGACAATGTATTTAAAGAGAGTATTAAAACATGTATTCACACAGAAAACAAAGACAGTTATCAAACAAAACTTGAAACACCGTTAAAGGAATTACCTTGTATCAGACAACTTTACTGCTGTAAACTGCTCAGGAGGACTAGGGCCTTCATCATCTGAGGAATGAATTTGCCATTAGTTAAGTATGAAGTATTAAACATAAAATATTTTAGCCTATTAATACTGCAGTTTCAAAAGTAATTAAACATTGACCATTGCTAAATACTATTCTTTAAAATTCTCCTTTTTTGAGAATTCACAGTTAAAAAAGCAATGCAGGTGCTCATTTATGTTCATGTATTTAGAGTGCTTAAAACAAGACATAAAATAAAGATGATCCTTGCATAAAGAAATTTGCAGTTGAGAACGTTTCATAATTCTCCTGGTGGCTTTGAAAACCTTAACTTCCTCGTAATGTTACTTTTTTCTTAACAAAATGCATTATGGTTCAAGCTATTGTAACTCAGCTCAGTATCCTAAAAGCTACTAGCCTCTCCATTCCTCAAAACCAAAATGAGAGAATATTGCCATCACTGGTTTGATCTCATCCTAGAGGTGAAACATACACACTGTCAGGGTTCTGGAATAGTCTGTGCCTGAGTGATGGCTCTCAAATTCAAAGAACAAGCTAATTATCCCAGCACATTAGCAGCTCTCCTGTGCAGTGACAAAACAAGCATATTGAGAGAAGATGCAGCAATAAGCCTTAAAACTCATCTGCCTTGAATTTCACTCTTCAAATGATGCCATAAAGATTTTACAGGATTTAATAAAAATTATACTGCTTTTTATCCAGCAAGTAGTATGGCCTTTAACAGGTAATCATCTCCAATGCAGTTCAATTTATTATACACATAAACCATGGAGAAACTAGATGAGTGAAACTGATTGGTAGTCATTAGGTTTAAGTCATCTGCATGCTTCATCTATAACTACTGCATTTGTAGTAAACTGCTTTTAGCTGTAAAACTGCTTGCCTTTAAGTGATGCTAGTTTTATGCTTTTAGGCATTTCATTGTTCAAACTGCTTATTTTCAAATTTTCTGGAACAAACCTTTATGTGGTGCTCCAAGTGTAAACAAGCCATTGTCAAGGGCGTGGATGTAAGCTCCTTTATCCATTTCTATAGCTATAGTTCCTGTAATTTCACCAAAATTACTGATAGCCCACCAATTTCCTGTAATACAAAACCATGACAGTTTATTAACCAAGTAATCCCAACTTCTGATTACAGCAGTTCAAGAAATGATATATATGTGCCTTCTCTGAAGAATTTGAAATTCTAAAGATAAAATTTCTATTTGCTATCTTGAGATCTGTGTGCACTATTTTATAGTCCAGAGCCAATTTAATGGTGAATGGTGTTGCTGCTGCATCAGAAAGTCCTGCTCTTATCCCTACCCTGTCATCCCTAGTTACAAGCTCCTGTGCTTTATCACCTTTTTCTGTTACTCTATAGAGCAAGTTGATTTATTCAGATGACACAGCAAAGAAACACCTTGCAAGGAAAGTGGTTTTTTTTTTCCCCCTCTTGATCAGTCTCCTGCAGTTTTGGGGTCATATCCAATCATTATTAAGTACTCCAGCAAAACAGAAGCAAATACACTATTTCATCTTGCTCTTAAATTACTTCATGTGAGCTGTAATCCTGAGAATTCAGTTGTTCAAGCCAATCTGTGTTTGAACATTTGAGTCCCACAGAATCCTACCAAAGTTACAGGTAATCCTAGCCATGTGAATGACTCAGAATTATGACTTTTATATCTTTTTGAACAGGAAAATTTTCTCCTTTTATATTGTCTTACAAATACTTCCTACCTGATTAAGATAATAAGTACTTTCAATTATTCAATCTGAATATGGTGTCTTTTTTCCACATGATAAGTTTGGCAAGTCAATCTGCCATAAGCAGAAATAACCTTTTCCTGTCTTTATACAATACACAGAACTATTTGTCTTGTCCTACATAGTCAGGGATCACAGATCAGTGTATGAATTTTCCAAATTTCTCCCACTTTTTCGAAATCTGGCTAAACTAAAGAATACAGAATATCTGTATCATTCTTCTAATGTAAGGCACAAGAGCCCATTTTCTTATAATTTTTTTTAACACAGGAACAAGGATGACTTCCCCCTGCCCTATTTTCTCTTATGCTTATATACACATAATAAAAAAATTATCTTTATCCCGTAATGTGCACTGTGCTACAAAACACCTCTGTATCTCTCATGATTTTGTGGTTCTTTCTAGCTGTTTTTGTTTGTGAAGTGAACTGTCATCAATCAAGAACATGATAGTGCCAAGGGGCAACACTGTAAAGTTATTGTTCATGACTATACACACTTTGATAAATTTATTTTATGAAAAAGTAGTTATGAGAAGTAGTTATATTTTATTACTGGTTAATGTTTGTGTCTTCAGTTTCGATTTAACTCAATAAGTAACTGCATTACAGTGCTTAAAAGTCTCTCCTCCTGCAGCAAATACCACTGGGGGGTGGTGGTACTGGAGGAGATATTCAAGCTGATAAGCAGTTTCTGATTATCTAAGAATATATTTAGCTAAAAAAAAAAAAGTGGAAAATCCATCCCATTGGCATCAGAAGTTCCATTTGGAGTCTAGGAAGATCCCAATATACAAATAACATGTTGTGAGAAATAGTTATAAATCTCTATAGGAACTACACTTAGTTTACAAAGTTCTATAACAATCTCTTTAGCTTCTGCTATATCCCCTACAGCTTCTATTCTGTCACGTAACTCCCAGAATATTGCTCACCAACAATATCAAGCTGCTCTGCTGCATCCTCCTCCCTTTTCCTTTTCTTCTCCTTGTGCTTTTTCTTGCTGCAAGGAGAGACGCAAAGAAATGAGAACGAGCCTCCGGCCCGGCACTTTCACCCCTCTCTCTCACGGCCTCCCGCCCAGGCCCTGACCGCAGCCGAGAGCCCAGGGCCCGACCCCCTGTCCCGGCCGGGAGCCCAGGGGTTCCCGCCGCCGGGGGTCGGGAAGGGGCGTGCGGGGCAGCACCGCGGGCAGTGCGGGGAGCCCCGGGCTCCCTGACCCGCGCTGCGGCAGCCGCTGGCCCCGGGGAAGTGCGGCACGGCAGGCAGCCCGCTCCTCACCTCTTCTCTTTCGACCCTTTAAGGACGAGCTTAGTGGACTTAACGCAAGAATACTCCGCCATGTCGGGAAGTGCCGGCAGACAGCGCCGGCTCCGCCCCGCGCTCGGGCGGAAGCCTTCGGGCCGCAGCGCTGCTTCCGCCGGGCCGTGAGCAGGAACCGGCGGTGTCGCTGTTGCCTCGGAGCACGTTCGGGGTGCCGGACACGGAATTTGGGAGGCGGGGGGTGGTGGCAATAAAACAAGAAGAGTTTAAAATTACGTTTGAGACTGTCCCTCAGCACCTTCCCTTTCTGAATCTGGCTTGGCTCCCTGAGTTGTTGCAACGCTTTGCAGGACTGCAGGCAAAGAGCGCTGAGGAACTTAGCGCTCAGAGCTTCCTCTGCAACCTGTGCGTGTGTGTAGTATACAACACGTGTAATGGGCACCAGCAGAGCCCTGGAATGTGATCCCTCTGCCGAGGGCACCAGACCTTGCCTCAGTGGCGGTGTTACACGAGGTGGGGTGCCTGGCAGTGCTGGTGCGGGAGCAAAAGCTTCGAGGGAAGCACATGAAGACGAGCTGAGGAAATGAAGCTTGTAAATCAACACAGTGCACCAAGCTAGGGGCAAAATGAGGTTTAAGACAATTTTCCCCCCATCCTGTTAGCCACTTGGTATTCCACAGAATAAAATCTACCTCAGGCTTTCCCCTGGGGATATAACCACATAACCATTTTTCTCACATTTTTAAGATACCAATAATCCTTCTTTGGGGAGCAGCCTTACTAGCACATGTGTGATTAGAATCCCTATTACAGCAGTAATTTGTGTTTAGTCCTCTGCTGTTTCTACTCCACACTAGTGAAGTGGGGTTTGTGCCCAAAAGGCTGTCTGCTGACTACCATAGCTGGTCAAATGAAAAAAATACCATCCCTATCAAATCTTGTCTTACAGGTACACATACAGAGATTCTATTCGATTGCTTTCTTCTGGTTTCTGAGTTAATTTCCTATCTATGCTTGCAAGTTCTCAGTACCTAAAATGTATCTTCTACAAATAAGAAATGAGAGTCTTATACATGGCTCTATAAAGGCTTTCAAAATCACTGAAAGCATGGCCTGGTGATAAAGCTTGGCATGTATGAAGTCCCAATGAAACTAACCCTGCAGTTGGTGAACAACTGCAGGTCATTCCAAAGATACTTTAATTGGATCCAATACTCTGTCTTTTTTCACCAAAATCCTTTGAATTTCTCTCTGCATGCCTAAGATGATGAACGCCATATTTTTGTCTGTGAAGCTGGAGTGGTTACACCTGCCATATTAAAATGAAAGCAACAGTAATGGACTTCTGGGAGTTTTTGGCAATTCCCTCATTTTGGAGCTTTGGGGAGAAGGTGGTTGAGAGTAAGCATTGGGCTTGTCAGCAAAAGCGGTACCTGAATCAAGCTGCTGGTGCATGTGAATTCAGGATACTTTTTTTGTGTGTGTCTCAGGCATGCTACTTCCCTACTAGTGTCTTCATCTGTTGCGCTTTTTCACTGGAAGACAGTCATCTCCTTGATCAGTGTTTAGGAAGTGGATAACTTGAAGCAGTGTGTTGCTGTGGTAGACAGTATGTTACTTGACTGATTTATGGACTTACCAGTCCCAGGAACTTGCATCTTGCAATTGTTTATTCGAGTAAAAGCTGAAAAAATAGGTAGAATTGAAAGCTGCAGACAGTGATGGACAGCTTGCTGGTCTCTGCATGGAGCTGTAATGAGGGAAGTATTGCATTAGCACAGTCTTGCATCAAATCAGGTTGTGACGGTCCTATACATATTTGTCTATGTGAAGGATCAGAGAAGATCCAGATTTCCAGTACAGGATTGAATATATAGCTGGACTACTAGCAATCTATTCTTTTATTTCAAACTCACTCTCAAATAAATTCTATTTTCTATTCTCATGTTTCTAGAGATTATTGCCTGAATTGTTGAAAACTTTTGATAGTGTCTTAAAATTTTGTAACCAGTAATAGAGTGGTTGTTGGTTAGTTTGTTTCCTTGTTTTTGTTGGTAGATACAATGGCTTGTTCGGTGATGAAACATTTTATAATCATAAAATCACAATCACTTGGTTTGGGTTGGAAGGGACATTAAAGATCATCTAGTTCCAACCCACCTGCCATGGGACCAGGTTGCTCAAAGGCCTATTTGACCTGACCTTGAACATTTCCAGGGCATCCACAACTTTTCTTGGCAACCTGTTCCAGTGTCTCACCATCCTCACAGTAAAGAATTTCTTCCTAATTTCTAATGTAAACCTATTCTCTCTCAATTTAAAGCCATTACCCCTTGTCCTATCACTACGTGGCCCTATCCATGTCTCTTGTAAAAAGGCCCTATCCAGCTCTCTTAAGGTACTGGAAGTTGCTCTAAGGTCTCTCTGGAGCCAACTCTCTTAGTTTTTCCTCACAGGAGAGGTAATCCTGCCCTTTGACTGTCTTCATGGCTCCCTCTGGACTTGCTCCAGCAGGTCCATGTCCTTCTTATAATGGGGGCCCTGGAGTTGGATGCAGTACTCCAGTGGGGTCTCATGAGATCAGAATGAGAGGGGGAGAGGTACCCTCTGTGACTTGGGCTGTGTGGCTGGTGAAGACCAAGGCAAAGAAGTTGTTGAATACCTCAGCCTTCTCCATATTTCGGGTAACCAGGTCTTCCATTTCCTTCTGGAGAGGGTCCACATTTTCCCTAGTCTTTGTTTTATCACTGATGCACCTATAGAAGCTTTTCTTGGTGCCCTTGACATCACTGGCCAGATTTCATTCTGTCAGGGTTTAGATTTCCTGGCCTGATCCCTGACTACTCGGTCAATTTCTCTATGTTCCTCTTGGGCTACCTGTTGCTTCTTCTACCCTCTATAGGCTTCTTCTTTGTGTTTGAGTTTGTCCAGGAGCTCTTTGTTCATCCATGCAGGCCTCCTGGCATTTTTGCCCAGCTTCCTCTTTGTTGGAATGCATTGCTCCTGAACTTAGAGGAGGCGATCCTTGAATATTAACCAGCTTTCTTGGGTGCCTCTTCCCGCCAGGGCTTTATCTCATGGCACTCTACAAAGCAGATCTCTGAAGAGGTGAAAATCCTCTCTCCTGAAGTCCGGGGTAACGAGCTTACTATGCTCATTCCTCCTGGCTGCCCTGAGGAACTCGAACTCCACCATTTCATGGTCACTGCAGCCAAAGCTGCCGTTGAGCTTCACATTCCTTACGAGCTCCTCCTTGTTGGTGAGAACAAGGTCCAAGCACAACACCTCCCCTTGTTGGCTCCTCTGTCACTTGGAGGAGGCAGTTCTCCTTTTAGCCAATATATTTGTGTCTGTTCAAACTAATTGCTCAACGCTGAGCAATTTTAGCAAATATGATTGTATATGACTCTTATCACTAAATACCTTTTTTGCTTGTTCTAAACAGATATGCCTATCAGGCAAATATTTTAGTAAAGGGAATAAGAAAACAGAGAAAGCAATTACATCAGAATTAGAAAAAAGCAAAGAGGAGATGAGTGAAGCAAAAAAGAATGTTTGTCAGCATGCTGATCACTCAGCAATCCTAGCGTACTGACTTGCCATTCAGTGCTTATTTTGTGGTTTATTTTGAATGCTTTTTAGACTTTGATTCTTTGGAGAGCAAACCTGCAGGAATTCTTTATTGTTTTCTTAACTGTACTGTAACTTTACTTATGATAGGTTATTATTTTTTGACTGCTCAACTGTGCAACCTTAGTATTTTCAGAGTATTTGTACACTTTTGTTAAAGTGGGCCAGTGTCCACTGATACACCATGACTTCGTAGTACACAAGTGGTTGCCTGAGAGGTCATATGAGAGAGGAAAAGGTAAGAATATAAAGCATTTATAAGAGATTTAATACCTTAAAAGTTATTAGGAATTATCTAAGTTAGATATTTAGGTTTTTATTGTTAACTTTAAAAAAACCAAGAACAATTAAAGCAGTTTAATGTTTATTGTATGATGGAACTACATTTTGCTATTTGTCCACCAGATGCTGCTATAGCCCCAAAAATAAATGCAGAGTAAGAAATCTGAAAAAAATAAGAAGTAGTTTTTATTTTCATTACAAGTCACCCTTACATATTGTGATGCTGGAAAGAATTACACACGTGCTTATATTTTGTGTGGGGAATAGTCCCAGTGAGTTCAATTAAGCAGCTCATTCTGTGTAAAGTCAGTTGTGGTTGTAAGCTTTCTTAGGATGGGGATGTATCAGTTATGTTTGCTATTTTCTTAATTTGCTCTTTCCCCCATTATGAAGATAAAGAGGGAAAGACAGAAGGACAGAGACAATACATTTCTTATTTTAATAGAAATGTGGGGGGTTTTTCAGGCTTTCATAATGTAAAATATATTTTCTTGTTGATGAGTATAATTTTATTTAAAATTCTTAAATTTAGTGACTACAGCAAGAAATAGGCAGCAGTAAAGTATATGCAGACGGTGGTAAGACCTTTCCCTGCATGGCAAAGCAATGGCATCAATCAGAAAACTGTATCTAAAATAGTACCACTTTAGAAAACTATTTAAACTCTAATTTGCTAGTTAGTATTTTTGAAATTAAAACATTTCCAATATGTCCTGGCTGTGATTGTTTAAAAAAAAATAACAGTTGTTTTTCTTTATGGCAATGGAAATAAATGGAGCCTTTGTGTTTGCAATTGTAGAAAACAAATCACTTTTTTAATGACTAGATTTTCCTGCCAGCTTGGAATTTGCCGCATGTGCATTTTGTTTTGAATGCCTAAAGAGTGAAATCATTTGCCATCTCTCATGCAGATGGGGCAGATTGGCTGAGGTGTCATTTGCAAAATGTGCACTTGCATCATTCGCGTTTGAAGGGGATCATTACAAGCAATGTTTTCCATAGGCACTCGGGATTGATGGAAGTGGAGGGCTGAGACTCGGCATCCGTGGATATAGTCTAGTGTCATAAAAGCCTGGACCAAAACTGGGGTGCTTTGGAGTTTTCTCTCATCTTGTTTATTTATGCTAGGAAATATTAAAATACCTCCCCAAACCAGAGAAACTTGAATTAGCTCTCTTGATAGCCAAGTTGGCAGATTATATGTTTTTTCCCTCTTTTGTTTACAAGCGTGGG